GATTATCTGTGGAATATTACTGCCTCAGCATTTGCCTAAGTGATCCAAGGAAACCACAGAAAAACTTGGACCAAGGCAGACGGACAGACCCGGAATCGAACCGGCATCCTCCCGAATGCTAAGCAATGGTCTAGACCTCTAGGCCATGCCGCTCGGTACCCATTCAATCTCGCAGCAACTATTTATACAAGCTGGTCGATTTCTAGAAAGATCCGGTATGTGGCGACTAGAAATCTAGTCATCGTCGCCATGTGTGTTGGGTTGCCTACATGCACTTGATAGTATTATATTTTTGAGTTGAAAATTCAAAACTGGGACGCTTTCCGACATATCCGAGGTGCTTAGCTATAACCTGGCATATCAGCGGGTGTCGATATTTAATGCTAACAACTTTTTTTTCTTGAAATGTCGATTTTACAAATTATAGAAAACTGACGTTAAGTTTACCGTGAAAATTTATCACTAAAAATGGTGAACGATTAGTCTCTATAACGTTACGTTTTATGTATTCGTTTTTAAAAAACGAATAAATTACCTATTTACATTTTAATTCCGTAAGAAACTCTTCTTCATCTGCTTTCTGTTTTATCATAACTACGTATCGTCATTTTTAGTTTCTCAAAACTGCCACTAAAGAATCGTAGTGAGCGTAATTCAAAAGTAGATGAGTAACCTTGGTACTCAGAATGTAATTTTATTAACAAACAAAAGTTAAAGGCATTTAGTGGTTGATACAAACAACTAAAAAAGAAAGCAATCGTTTAAAAGTTTAAGACGTGGTAAATGATATGTTCACGAAATTAGTAATAAAAACTGAAAATACTGAATCCAACGATAAATGGGACGCAATAAAACAGTTCCATAAAATACGGGAATGTTGCGTTATACTGACTGACTTGAAGACTTCGAAAAATGGTAAAGCACCACGCGTTATTGAGAATAAGAAGACTTTGAAATACCGTAAAGAATGTCCATGTATCGGCTGCAACGAACATAAGCCGGAAGCCAAGAAACTTCGTAAAGGAACTAAAAGCGTTGAGAAAAACGAGTACAGCATCAAATTATATTCGACGCGTCAAACACGCGCACTGGGAAAGTATAAATGTAAAATTTGCTGGAAAACGTTAAATAAACAAGCTGTATTAAATAAGCATCAGGATGGTCATATACACCGATGCGAAATTTGTGGTGTTAAATTCAAATTAGGAAAACATTTGTAGTTTTTTTAATTAAGTCTGTATGCTACAATTGCAATTAAAAGTAATATACAACACCTTCAGGTTTATCGATAGAATATTTTTAATCTGTATTCAACTTTATTAATTAACGAAAATAAACCGAAACACTAGCGAAATTAAAGTATGCGGAATGTACGATTAAATCAAAATGGTGATTTATATGTATCTATGCTTTCCAGGAAAACTAAAAAAAACTTGAACTCTTCAGTAACGAAAATTTTAATAAATAACATATAAAGCAACCTTTGTAATTTTGCGGACTTTGAATTTAAATGGATGAGTAAAACGTTGCTGAAATATCAAACACCCACATATGTATATTCATTAAAAGATTATTACACAAGAACTTTGACGTTTTTTTTTAATTTGTTAGAAATCACTTTAAGCGAACTTCAGTAAATGGGAGGGTAATATCTTTGAACCGCTAGCCGCATTGTTGTAGCACGTTTTCTCTAATGATTTTAGCTCATTCCTTTTAGAAAGTAAGGTTAGGTTTTAAACTTACTAACGTTCATCATCATCATCGTAAGGTCGTCAGTCCTAAGACTCTACAAATTTTGTTCTAAATATTTTTTATACGCTTAACCCATTGCATCAGGAATAATTTAAAATACTTAAAAAAATTAAATTCTCTAGTATTTTCAAAGCCTTTTAGGAAACGCTAAAAATAAATCAGAAAATGATCAAAAATCCAGATTTACGAAATAAACTGTGAAAGCTGTAAACTTATAATTAAGTATGTTGAGCAAGCAAAATTGTCTATTTTAACGCGATGAAAAGAATACATTTCTTAATTCAAATTTAATTTTATTGATAAGTCATGCATATTTTTAAAACGAACCACCCCATGTTTACAATTAGTTAAAGAAGTCTCTTGTAAATCAGAATTCAACGCTTGGAAAAGTTTATACAAACGAGAGATTAAAGATTATGATCACCTATATCAGATTTTCATCTTATTCCTAATTCCATCTTGTTCCAATCATTTGAAAAGGTTTAGTTGATAATTGTACCTTCTCTTAATTAATCTTAAACTCATAGGCCTTCCTAGCTGTAGTTACTGTACATTTATTTTAGATACTGGTTTTTCCTCTTTGTCCTGAATAGGTTTGTGATTAGTGAAGCATACATTAATTACATTGTTTGGCTCTTACGACTTTATAGCCTCTCATAACAAAAGCTATTGTACATATATACTTTTTTTTTTTTCGTGTTTTGGCGTTGGGGTTTTGAGCTATTCTGTTTGTTCTACAACAACCGCCAAAGTTTTTCCAATCTTCATATATATACTACCCTTGAATCAAATACATTTTCTTGTTTGTCGAAACATAAATGGTACCTATTGGCTTTTTCAGGCTTTTACTTAAGACATTGAATGTATTTTCTATCCTTTTTTTTTCGAATGTTTGGATATAGACCATTATTGTCAGTACCCACTTTGAGCATTCAAATTAGTGTAAATTTTACCATACTAGGACCAGTCTCGTGTTGATAAAGGTCACATTCAAAGCACGTGTCGGCATTGGAATGTTTCAATGTTAATTAAGTTGATTTTCTTTCAGTTTATTTAACAATGCAAAACTTTTTCCTTAAAAATGTCATAATCCAATACGACTTGGAGTCTTTTTTTATGGCTTATTAGATAAGAATTGGAATTTAAATTTTTTAACGTTTCTTAAATATTACGTATAATATATGTATAACTGCGTGCAGAATAAAACAGGAATTCGGAAAAAGAATACTTGAGAGTGAGAGTACAATTTCAGAAAATAGATGTTGGATGTTGTTTCATAAGATTTTTAATTAAAAACCTATGAGTGATTTAAGAAGGCAGTTTGAATGAAATAGCAAAAGTTCCAAGTTAAGTTGCTTGAAGTATTGAATTATATGTTCTGAAGAGTGTTTAGCAATCAGCATGTCTTCACTTAAAATTTCGTTTCTGATGAGGGCAAGAACGCAATTTGTTCTGTTTCGTTGCATGCCTAATATCACCTGGATAGAAATTTTACAAGTCGATACCCTTAATTGTCAAAAGCTACTGAATTCTACGATAAGCAGCAGCTCTCTACAGGTGACGTTCACTACGATCTCTGTATATATAATAGGTACTTATTCAATCTCTAACTTGTTGCATTAATGCATCGGTAAACAAAAGTTTGTTTTATAACAAGGGAACAAACTTGGTAAGTGTTAAATAGAGGCTGCTATACTAAAGTGAGTAAGTTTGTGAGTAAATATCAGGCAAGATGTTGCAGATATTCCATTTGAAACTTTGTCAAGTTAATCAGCCCTCTCGAATATGATATTTTGTAACCAGTAGGTATCTACTTCTGCTAATAACTGCAGTAGGTACATATTTACTAGAAAGTAGTGATATGACGAATACCCAAGTTCCCACCAAACTGATTGCTTATCAGAAAGTTTGGTTAGATGAGACGATATCTCAGTTATTTGAGAACGCAAATTCAAGTCAATGTGTCAGAACATACATATATGTATGTCATTTTACGTATACCCACATTTCTTCCTCTATCAGTTATCAAAACTGTATGAAATCTAGGAATTGTACACAATTCCTAGAAAATGTATTCAATTCCAATGCTATTTAGGAAATCTATAAAATATTGTNTCTATCTAGGTCATGCCACTTGGTATCTTATAGCACGAATAAACGACGGAATTCGAAAACCATAAATTTGCAATTATACCACAAATAATAATTTATATTGTGATTATAAGTTTTGGGGACTGATTTTGGGGGGGAAGCTTAAAACATACTCACAAAACCGAGAAAAATCTTTGACACTCAATTTTTCTTCTGTAGAAATACCACCTATTGTTGAAATTGAAAAAAAGGGCTTCCTGAATTTTTGAAAAATTTGTTATTCCAAATTACCGACTTTGAAATAAATGCTCAATCATCATCATAAGGTCATCAGTCCTAAGACTGGTTGGACACGTACCTCCACTCTTTCCTATCCTGAGCTAAACTTCGCATTTCCCTAAAACTAGAACAGCCCACATCCTTAACTATTTGCGAACAGTAATCTAATCTAGGTCTACCTCTACCCCTCCTAACTCCTGTTTCTGCCTCTAATATGTCTCTGACTAGACCTTCATGCCTGAGAAGGTGTCCTACCAACCTATCTCGCCTATTTTTTATTGACTTCCATAGAGTCCTCTGTTCTCCTATTCTTTCCAATACCTCTTCATAGTCAGCTGCTCGATCATTTGGAGCTGTGAAAGAATCAAACTTCTAGGTAAACTAGCAAAGGAATCAAAACCTATTGGGTGCTCAATAGTCCCCTTATATTCCCAGGAATGCCAATTTTGGGATATTCTCAGATGGAAACGAAAATATATTGGCATTTCTCCAGTAGGAACGATATGATTAATAATAATGCTGTTAAATATTAACAGCACTTTTCTATAAAAAGATCTTAAAACTCTTTTTTATGCATTTATATAAAAAGGAGTATTTAAAAAAATAGCGTTGGGATATTTTAATTGTTCATAAAATCACAGACATTCGAAGCAAAAAAGGGTAATTAATTAACAAATTGACATCTCAGAAGCTATTTAATAATATTAAGATCAGAAAATTTACGTGAAAGACGTTCAGTGAGTAGGTACTTAACAATAAAAAAATTAGACTGATCCACGTAGATAATATTTAGTCATCTTCATTATAAGTGATTAATCATTTCTTTAAAATTTGTAGTGCGTCTACCTGATAAATTGAATCGTTTTTTCATGTTTCAGGAAAAAGCGTTTAAAGAACAAGAAGAAATATTCCACGGAGAAGATAGACCTGTAACGATGAAAGACTTGGGAGAGATGAAATACCTTGAGAGGGTGATAAAAGAAACTTTACGCCTTTATCCGAGTGTACCATTTATCAGTAGATTATTAACTGAGGAATTGGTTGTGAGTAAGTGAAGAAATTTTTCTCCGTACCTACCGGAACTACTTCCGCTAATAACTTTAATACGTTACAACAGATGCCCGTTATATATAAGTACAGTAAGAAATTTCTAAACTTTTGAAACATAAGTTTTTCTCGTTTTTTTAATAAAAATACCTATCTCGGATGTAGGTATTTTTAATGGAGAGCAAAAGAGAGCGAGAGAGAGAGTGAGAGAGAGAGGTACTACCTCAGCTTCTTCTATCATATCGAGAAATGAAATATAAAAAGTAATGTCGAATCAGGAGCAATAACTCAAATTGATGCTTGATAAAATAAAAACATTTTGCCTTTGAAAATAACCAATATCGAAATAAATCGTTCGGTCATGAACTTTAATGAAAGACTTTTCCAAAAAGTTTAACTTCTTGTATTTTATATGGGCAGTGGTAAATTCGGCCGGTCATTACGACAAATAATACCTAGAAGAATTTATTAAGTCGAAATGTAAATTCGGCCGCTCCGTTCAAATACATATACTGAAAATTAGGTATGTCAATTCGGTCGGAACAGTGATTATATATGTTTATCACTTTCTACATATTGCATATACCTATATTTTAAAAACTTTTACAAGAGTAATGTAAGGTTTCAGATATTCTAAAATATTAATTTTTCTGTTATCAGCAGTAAATTAGTGTGTAGAGTAGCCCAAAATGAAAAAGGTAAATATTTTTAGTGAAATGATTAACTGCAACGAAAATATATAAAAGTATTTACAAGGAAAGTGTTTACTACTTTCCCTAAAAAGACGCAGGAGGCTATGCAAAATTTATCTAAAGAATGCGTAGAAATTGTAACCGCTGAAAATTCTTTCGATCTAATTTGGATTATGCATACGGTGAATTCTTTTGCAAACCGGACACTCTTCTGACCAACATATTTTCGATTTGGTTGAAATTTTATTTACGGATAGAACCCGTAACCCATAAAAATCTAAAAGAAAAAAAGAGATACATGTTCGAGGATTTGTTTTTTTTTTCAATATTTTTGGAAATAGAAGTGATCGAAAATTTGGCAGTTTTTGGCTTGAAGACTCATTTTCAAAAATTCATAACTTCTATTTGAGGTAGAATTTGTTTTCCATTTTTTTGTTTTCCATTTTAATGGTAAAAGAATGAGTTTTAATAAAAATTATTAACAAATTCTCATTGTTATAAACAATAGAAATGTTAAATTGTCCCCGCCTCGTAGCGAGCTTTTACCATTTTACCATAACCATCATGTTTTACATTAAATTTTTTATCAAAAACGTGTTTTTAATTGATAAAGAAATTAACATTCCTAATGAAAAAAATAATTTATACAGCGCGGCACGTTACATAAGAAAGTATCCGAATCCCCGCACACGGTTTGTGTCTCGTTTTTTGATTTAGCGATTTCAGACAACACGAAAAACGTTCTCTATGGCAACGGGACGGAATTCAAGTGTTTACTTTGTCTAACTGATAAGTAGTAATACCACCCCGTCGTCGGGACAGAATTCGAATACACCTGTACGAATTTCCCTATACCATGGTATATTTTTCAAAAGATGATGCCGTTTCTTGATAATAACATGTAATAGAATATCCTTCTATTCGATTCTCAGTTGGCCACTAGTGCACTTATACACTATGTCTGTTCAGTACTCCAGAAAAATAAAGGAGAAAAAAATACATAAAACAGAAATAGAATTTATCCATCTCGCACCACCCAGTGATATACATAAATAGGAGGGTAATAATCTTTGTTTTCTGTTTGATATATTCAAAATAAACTTATTTTTATATTTTGCGGTAATACCAGTAAGTTTGCCAATTGAACAGAAACTACGGAGTGAAAATTATTAGGTCCCTACGTTGTGGTGCCATCACAAGATTCACTCTACAGTGCCTCCAGATGTTACCTTTCAAATATTTCGAAATACTAATCAAACATAGTGAATTTATACTTAACTGTGAAGAATAACTGATATCATATGGTAATTGAAATTTATACCTAATGTTTATTATTTATAATCGTGTTGTTTTTGAATTAGTGTTATATTTATTAACTATTTATATTGTCTATTACTCCTTTTATTTATATTGTGGTATTATAATAATTAATGTAGTTCTTAGGCTTTCACGGCCGGCGTATACCGATGCGGTGCTTTCTTCCGAGCTTTTTGGCCGTGGTCCGTGGAATTTTACTTTTCCAAACGTTTCGCCGTTCTTTGCTGACGGCATCTTCAGTGGTGACTGGGCAGGTGCTGAGTCGTAACTCATCAGTCACCACTGAAGATGCCATCAGCAAAGAACGGCGAAACGTTTGGAAAAGTAAAATTCCACCGACCACGGCCAAAAATCCCGGAAGAAAACACCGCATCGATATGTGAATGTTCTTACGTCACAGTATGTTGTGTAAGTTGTACACACCGAACTATCCGAAACAAGGTAGGTCTACGTAAAAAATGTATCTTGAAAAAGGGGTACAACAGGAGGTGAAACGTTAGCATCGATTTTGCAATTAATAAAAGAACCTTATAAACCCCATTGAGCTCTGATTAAATGATTATAATCTACTTTGCAAACCAAATTGCTGTAGATACTTAATCTAAAATCAATTATTGTTTTTTTTNTCGATTCAATGCTAAAATCAGGGAATTTTTTAGACCTGCACCAGTGGTTGTATCGCTCAATCCCATAGTCCGATCTATGGGCAATAAAAAGGTCGATTCAATGCTAAAATCAGGGAATTTTTTAGACCTGCACCAGTGGTTGTATCGCTCAATCCCATAGTCCGATCAACAGGCATGCTTACGCTTACATACCCTTCAGTGCGGGTCCAAGAAATTGCATTGGTAAGTAAATAAGTACTCGTAATATATTTTTATATTTTTCATAAATAAAATTCAAAATTCATTATTATCTTACAATTTTGCCCCTCAAATGTATAAGGAGTACCGATGAGAACCAACGAGTTCAAAACTGCGGTCCACGTCTGATAATATCGATAAATCACTTGACCGGGAACTTAATGCTCTGTTAAGTAAATTTACATTAAGACTACACAAGTACAATGTCTAATTTTTCCTCTAATAAATAATAAAAGAGTGAAAATCAAAAATAAAAGAAATAACAATTTATGGGGCCGTAATAAATTATAACGTTGGTATACTCTCTAAATTAAAAAAGTAACAACCTTCATTAAGTTAGCTGTTCGTAAAAATAAACGCAAGGGATAAGTTTAAAATAAAAATAATGTTTATTTGTACTAATCTTTTCAACTTGTTCTTGTTTTAGCTCCTAAAAAATAAGTTAGAGGCTACAATTTCAAAAACCTTACTTTCTTTTTACAAATACTTAGTAAATCACCTTTTCCATTGATTTACTAATATTTTTAAATTCCTGAATTCTCCAAAAAACTGGAGAGAGCAAGTATAAGAATCCTTAGTAGCATCATCAATCAATCCAAATTCTCGTCACCTCAGCTACATTTTCCCACACACAATTCACACTTCGTACATTTTCAATATGCACATTGATTAATGTAATGTTATTCCTTTTTTCAAAGTGAGACTTTTATTACATCCCTTTAAATTTTTTCGGCCATCTATCGCATGTCCCCTTAGAGCCGGCTGCGGAGTAGGGGAAAAACTGAAGCGGTCGGCAGAGCTGCCAAGACCAATATGAGGGCGCCCATGGCTCGCATGAACTAACCGTGTAGCATATATGTTCTCACTCATTCGTACAAGTGCATGACAATTACATTTATAGACTGTGAAACTCAAAGCGAAGATGAAATTATTGATAAAATAAATGAAGTTCAAAATAATTCAATGATTTAAATAAATATTGTTCTCAGTTTTTAACATGCGTCTATCATCTGAATGATTGTATTTACTGTGTATTCCGTACTCTCATACGCAAATTGAAATTAAAATTTATAGTTGCATATCTTGTCTACTATTGATGTCCTATTAACATTTTCATTTTTCAATCAGTAATATAATATTAAGAAAGCGATTTTATTTTAATACCCTAAATCGAANTGATTGTATTTACTGTGTATTCCGTACTCTCATACGCAAATTGAAATTAAAATTTATAGTTGCATATCTTGTCTACTATTGATGTCCTATTAACATTTTCATTTTTCAATCAGTAATATAATATTAAGAAAGCGATTTTATTTTAATACCCTAAATCGAATAATTTTTCGAAAATTACAGTTAAATTCCTACAATCCGAATAGTTTTACTAGCATCGTGGTTTCATAAAACCACACCATTGTTTTTTACTAATGTCCGCTGCAGTTCCTATCTGACATCTCTTTTCTATGTTTAATTATTGTCTACTGTCTCTATTGTCTTTGTTGACATTTTTCGATTTATTACCATTGTCGTACAGTTAGTGAAAAATGTGTTTCCATGATTGTTCAGTTTATCGTGCAAAATTTCGTTAATACCTAACGACACTCAGTTATTCCAGCAAAATACTGCCGGTTCCTAGGATGACGCTATATCCTAAGTTCACATTTTTTGTGACATGCAGAATTCAGAAGCAAACCTTGGACTATTTTGCAACCTTTATTATATTTAAAGACTTGGCACAAGGTACACTTTAAATACGATTTTACTTAGACAGCGACCGTTTGTATAAAAATCAAAAATTCATTTATGTAATTTCATTTTCACGTCGTCTTACGAAACGGTTTCCAATGATTACTTAGATATTCAAACGAAATGTAATTTTATTCCGTTCGCCTCTTTTCTTAAGCGGTAAGAAACCGCGATTGTAACTGTAAAAAATGAATTTGCCCCAGTGAAAAATAGCCCGACTCAATTTTCAGCTCTAGCGTCAAATACACACGTAGAGTTTGTGCCGTAAATTTCACAAGCAAAGATCGTATACGAAAATGGATTTTTCTTCGTGCCGATTTTCGCGAGAATATAAAATTATACCAATAAATATCCAGACGCGTACGCAATACGAGAAATTCCACTCCCACTTGATGCTCTCATGCCCCTTCGATTTCAGTTTTCCTCAACCTGTTTTAATTTTC